TCGACTTCGACCAGCTCGCAAGCCGGGTTGGGAGAAGACGAGTTGAAAAAACTTCGTTTATCAGCTATGAAGCTGTTAAAAACGTTGCTCGACTTCGACCAGCTCGCAAAAAGGGTGGGGAGGAGATATAGTACGACGTGGTAAAAAACTTGTGTGAAACATTCAAAAACTCACAATGACAAACACTTGAAGGAAAACCGCGAAAAATCGATAAAATACAGACAAATGAAGAGAAAAGATAACATTATATTAAAAGACGTTCAAATACATCCGAAAACCACCTCGATCTTTACAATCCGGGAAAATAGATCGAGTATGGCGATAGAAAAATAACAAACTTCAAGACCAGCGAACATCTAGTTCTGTTGAGAATCAGCAGTTGATTTTTCACCAAGATCGGCATCCCTGCCTCCATCAGCCACAGGCTCAGTCCTCGCATCTTCCTCGTCACCCAAAGGCTCAGTACCGCCACCCGTCTCCTCGACCGCTGGCCCCGCTCTCGACTCCTCGACCTCCCTCTCCTCATCAGCCTCTTCCTCCTCTTCCTCGTCGTCCGCTCCACTCGGCTCGACCAAGTTGATTGGACCGGCCAAAGGGGTGGGGGGAACCTCGAGCTGGGTGCCCAACTTAGCTTTTTGGATCGCTCGAGCCTCAAGACCCGTCCACCAAGGATAATCATTGGGAAACGACGTATCACCGTGATAGCCGGCCGGAAGAGGAAGAGACTCTTTCAGCGCCTGACGGTCGACCTTGCCCTCCAGAGTAGTGCCCCTCGCGGCAGACTCCCATGCGTCGAATGTAAAATTGAAGTACTGGAGGGTCGCAGGGCACAGTTTCTCGAGGAAGTCGGGGGAATTGCAGAACGCTCCCACGACCTCCTTTCGATAGGCGTCGAGGAAGACAGAACCCATCGGGGACTTGAGGAAGGATTTACGTCCCTCCTCCTTCCCGATCTCCCTCTCGGCCACGTTGTCTTCAATGGCCTTCGCAAGGTCGGTGCGTAGCTTGTCGACCTTAGAGAGGGAGGCGGCCTTCTCAGATTTGAGTTTCGCGATGAGGGCATTGGCCGCCGCAAGGTCGTCATTCTTCTGCTCGAGCTCAGAAAGTAGCTCAGCACACTTCTCCTTATAAGCGTGGACATTGGAGTTTGGGGAACTGGACTCCTCAAGAAGAGGCATCACATATGCCATGAACTGAAAAGAGAAACCGAAAAGAATAAAGATCAGTATAAGGCAAAAACGAGAATAAGAAAAATAATTGACCAAGGTCTCGAGAATGCTTACCCGCGAAAAACACAAAAGAGCACGACCAGCACGGTCATAAGGGTCGCGGTCGGCGTGAGCCTTGTCGGCCGCCGGGATTACAAAATCAAAATACTTGGCGATCTCGTGAGGATGAGGGTGATCCCAGAGTCGGGAGGGCCTCTCAAGGGTCACCGTCTCAAGGGCGCCGGGAGAGCGGGGAGCTTCGATTGCCTTTCTCTTATCTTGGCCCTTCTGACGTTTGACGGAGTCGGGGATCAGCACAAAGTCGGCCTCGTCTTGAGCCCTTTTACGGGACTTCGAACCAGAGGCCTTGGGAGCTCATGCAGCTGAAGGAAGGACCACTTTCGACTTTTTGGCAGCATTCGTCTCGACAACTACCTGCTTCGATCCGGAGCCGACGCCGTCATTAGCACCGGCAGGAAGAGAGGAAGGCTTGGCGGATTTCTCGCCACCTTTCGCAGCTTTAGCCTCGAAAAGTGCCAGAGTCCTAACTGAAAAAAATAATAAAAAAAAAAAGACAAAGAAACAGGTCATCAAGAAACACCATTATCATTTACACTTACGATACAACCTACGAGTAAAGTAAGCACGTAAATAGGACAAACGCATGAGCTTACTAGGGTCATCAAGGCGAGGGGCGTCCTCGTCAATACAAAGGCCCACATGATTAAGAAGACTACGATCCTTAACCAGCAAACGAGCACTCCATTTGAACTTATTTAAGTCAACCAGCATATCCTGGAACTGGCTCGACTTAGGACGAGGGGTGTCCTGCTGAACCTTCGAGGTAAGCCAGATGTTGGAAAAGGGGTATTGGTCGGGGGCAGGACGGATATAAAAGAATTTGGTTTTCCACTCATTAATGTTCGAAGAAAGGTCCTCGAGGAAGGAAACACCAGGTCGGCGACCCAAACAGTGGGCATCCTTTATGAAACGGTAACTATAACAATACAACAGGAATTCGGGCAAAAAAT